TTGTTGTTCAGGAGCGGCTTGACAAGAGGAATACGACATTTGAAGCCCATGTCCAGGATCCGTCTGTGTGTGGTGGCTCTTGATGCACTGACTCCAGCCTCAGTCCACTCCTTGTGAAAGTCCCCAACACTTTTGAATGGCCTTTTCCTGACAATCCTCTCCAGGCTGCGGTCATCCCTGCTGCTTGTGCACCTTTTTCTTCCACACTTTTCCCTTCCACATAACTTTCTATTAATGTGCTTTGATACAGCACTTTGGGAACATCCAACTTCTTCTGCAATTCCCTTTTGAGGCTTTCCCTCCTTATGGAGGGTGTCAGTGATGGTGTCAGGTCAGCAGTCTTTCCCATGATTGTGATTCCTACTGAACCAGACTGAGAGACCATTGAAAGGCTCAGGAACCCTTTGCAGGTGTTATGGCTGAATGAGCTGATTAGAGTGGGACACTTTGAGCCGAGATTATTCCACCTTTTCACAATATTCTCATTTTCTGAGATTGTGGATTTGGGGTTTTCATGAGCTGTAAGCCATAATCCTCACAATGATGACAAATCACGGCTGGAACTATCTTGCTTTGCATGGAATGAGTCTCATATATTAGTGTCACCTTTTAAGTTGCTGCACTGAAATCAGTGAATGAATGAATGAATGCACCAGATTCTCATTTTTCCAGTTTCACCTGTATATATATATGTGTGTATAAAGTGCTGCATAAATGGACGGCGCTCTATAAGTACCCGCAATAATAGTAATAACGCACGGCGCCGTGTTCACTAGAGGTGCGGGTTCCCCCGTAGAGTGGTGCAGTACTACCTCTGAGCAGCAGAGGGGGCAGTCTCACTGCTCTCCTTGCCATACAGAAAAGTCGATGGAATCGATCTCGTTGTGTAATTTGTATTTTTGCTGATCCGGTCACTAATGCTCTGTGGCCCCTTTTATACCGTGGCCCCCAGGGAGCCTATTAGGAAAGAGTCGGCCATCGGAGATTTGCATACAGAAGTAACAGCAGCTTGGCCCCTATTCTGCGCACTGTCATCGCGGACACATTCTTGGTGTCACCCTTCCCATAGATGTTGCAATGTGGGGCTGAGGAAGATCTCGCGCTGTAGTCAGACTTGTATGACAAACACGTCATGTGACCAGTCATCAGCACACGGGGGATGGGGGGAAGGGGGTGATTGGGCTCTCCAGGGTGAGCGGCAGGCTGGGGTAGACTGGACTGCAAGTGTTTGAAGAATTCTGCACATGACCGGCTTTTCCTGATTTACAACAAAACTTGCTGCGTCCAAAGAGATGCAAAGCCGGAGAAATGCGACCTCATCTGCGCTGCGCCACAGGGGAGGGGGGGTGGTCAGTGGGAATCGGCTCATCATTGGGCCGGTGCAGTTTTCTGGATTTTCCATTATTCAGAGATGAATCCGAATGACAAGAATAACAAATTAAAAGAAATCTGAAATAACGAAACAAAATTTGGCCGAAATTCGAATTCAAAAACGCATTTGAAAACCCATTCAACCCAAAGTACAGATACCTGCAGCCGCACCACCCACACAGAGGAATGGGGACCCGTACAGATACCTGCAGCCGCACCACCCCCACAGAGGAATGGGGGACCCGCACCAATACCTGCAGCTGCACCACCCACACAGAGGAATGGGGGACCCGCACCAATACCTGCAGCTGCACCACCCACACAGAGGAATGGGGGACCCTCACCAATACCTGCAGCCGCACCACCCCCACAGAGAAATGGGGGACCCTCACCAATACCTGCAGCCGCACCACCCACACAGAGGAATGGGGGACCCGTACAGATACCTGCAGCCGCACCACCCCCACAGAGGAATGGGGGAACCACACAAATACCTGCAGCCGCACCACCCACACAGAGGAATGGGGGAACCACACAAATACCTGCAGCCGCACCACCCACACACAGGAATGGGGAACCCACACAAATACCTGCAGCCGCACCACCCACACACAGGAATGGGGAACCCACACAAATACCTGCAGCCGCACCACCCACACAGAGGAATGCGGGACCCTCACCAATACCTGCAGCCGCACCACCCACACAGAGGAATGCGGGACCCGCACAGATACCTGCAGCCGCACCACCCACACAGAGGAATGCGGGACCCGCACAGATACCTGCAGCCGCACCACCCACACACAGGAATGGGGGACCCGCACAGATACCTGCAGCCGCACCCACCCACACACAGGAATGGGGGACCCGCACAGATACCTGCAGCCGCACCACCCACACAGAGGAATGCGGGACCCGCACAGATACCTGCAGCTGCACCACCCACACAGAGGAATGGGGACCCTCACCAATACCTGCAGCCGCACCACCCACACACAGGAATGGGGGACCTGCACAAATATCTGCAGCCGCACCACCCACACAGAGGAATGCGGGACCCACAAAAATACCTGCAGCCGCACCACCCACACACAGGAATGGGGGACCTGCACAAATACCTGCAGCCGCACCCACCCACACACAGGAATGGGGGACCCGCACAGATACCTGCAGCCGCACCACCCACACAGAGGAATGCGGGACCCGCACAGATACCTGCAGCTGCACCACCCACACAGAGGAATGGGGGACCCGCACAGATACCTGCAGCCGCACCACCCACACACAGGAATGGGGGACCCGCACAGATACCTGCAGCCGCACCACCCACACACAGGAATGGGGAACCCACACAAATACCTGCAGCCGCACCACCCACACAGAGGAATGCGGGACCCGCACAGATACCTGCAGCCGCACCACCCACACACAGAAATGGGGGACCCACAAAAATACCTGCAGCCGCACCACCCACACACAGGAATGGGGGACCCTCACAGATACCTGCAGCCGCACCACCCACACACAGGAATGGGGGACCCGCACAGATACCTGCAGCCGTACCACCCACACACAGGAATGGGGGACCCTCACAGATACCTGCAGCCGTACCACCCACACACAGGAATGCGGGACCCGCACAGATACCTGAAGCCGCACCACCCACACACAGGAATGGGGGACCCACAAAAATACCTGCAGCCGCACCACCCACACAGAGGAATGGGGGACCCTCACCAATACCTGCAGCCGCACCACCCACACAGAGGAATGCGGGACCCGCACACAGATACCTGCAGCCGCACCACCCACACACAGAAATGGGGGACCCGCACAGATACCTGCAGCCGCACCACCCACACACAGAAATGGGGGACCCACAAAAATACCTGCAGCCGCACCACCCACACACAGGAATGGGGGACCCGCACAGATACCTGCAGCCGCACCACCCACACACAGGAATGGGGGACCCGCACAGATACCTGCAGCCGCACCACCCACACAGAGGAATGCGGGACCCGCACAGATACCTGCAGCTGCACCACCCACACAGAGGAATGGGGGACCCTCACCAATACCTGCAGCCGCACCACCCACACACAGGAATGGGGGACCTGCACAAATATCTGCAGCCGCACCACCCACACAGAGGAATGCGGGACCCACAAAAATACCTGCAGCCGCACCCACCCACACAGAGGAATGGGGGACCCGCACAGATACCTGCAGCCGCACCACCCCACACACAGGAATGGGGGACCCGCACAGATACCTGCAGCCGCACCACCCACACAGAGGAATGCGGGACCCACAAAAATACCTGCAGCCGCACCACCCACACAGAGGAATGGGGGACCCTCACCAATACCTGCAGCCGCACCACCCCCACAGAGGAATGGGGACCCGCACAGATACCTGCAGCCGCACCACCCACACAGAGGAATGGGGGACCCTCACCAATACCTGCAGCCGCACCACCCACGCACAGGAATGGGGGACCCACAAAAATACCTGCAGCCGCACCACCCACACACAGGAATGGGGGACCCACACCAATACCTGCAGCCGCACCACCCCACGCACAGGAATGGGGGACCCACAAAAATACCTGCAGCCGCACCACCCACGCAGAGGAATGGGGGACCTGCACAAATACCTGCAGCCGCACCACCCACACACAGGAATGGGGGACCTGCACAAATACCTGCAGCCGCACCACCCGCACAGAGGAATGCGGGACCCACAAAAATACCTGCAGCCGCACCACCCACACACAGGAATGGGGGACCTGCACAAATACCTGCAGCCGCACCACCCGCACAGAGGAATGTGGGACCCCACAAAAATACCTGCAGCCGCACCACCCACACAGAGGAATGGGGGACCCGCACCAATACCTGCAGCTGCACTACCCACACACAGGAATGGGGGACCCGCACAGATACCTGCAGCCGCACCACCCACACACAGGAATTGGGGACCCGCACCAATACCTGCAGCTGCACCACCCACACACAGGAATGGGGGACCCGTACAGATACCTGCAGCCGCACCACCCACACACAGGAATGGGGGACCCGCACAGATACCTGCAGCCGCACCACCCACACAGAGGAATGCGAAACCCACAAAAATACCTGCAGCTGCACCACCCACACAGAGGAATGGGGGACCCGTACAGATACCTGCAGCCGCACCACCCACACAGAGGAATGGGGGTAGGTGTCATTAATTCTAAGGGCACCCACCCACACTAGAAATTGTAACCGTACTGGGAACTTCGGCTGCGATTCCCCAAGGGGTGCAGGGACTTCTTCCCTTCATGTCCCGGGCACAGGAGTCCATTGAAATGTCTGGGCTCTCATGTCCACGCAAATCACAGCCCGCACGGCCGCATGGGTTACGCTCGGCTCTCTGTCCCTGTTGGCTAGGCTATATGGGGCCCTGGGGCCCCGGGATTTCTGTCAGCAGCCCTTCTTCTGAGCATGGATAAATGGTTGGATACATTGGGCCGTCCTTGCTTTGTACAACGCTGTGGAAGGTGTTGGTGCTACATACATCTTTATTGATTGATGCTTGTGCCAATGTATACTCACGCTCTATTAATTGCTTCTTTTTGTTTTTTCAGGAAATTGCCAAAAGGCTTCAGCAGCTGGAGGAGGAAGAGCTGCAGCGGAAGGCTCAGGACAGGCTGGGAGGTAAGATTGATCTATTACTGACAGCCATGCTGAAGGGGCTGCAGGGCGGAATCATAGCGAAACCGCGTACCACCTGCTGCGATATGATTCAGCCGCCATGAAGGGTGCAGCCTGGTCAGGGAGTACAGCATTGACTCACTGGAATTTTTCACAGTTTTGCAATAACATTAGGCAGCTGCCAGATCTGATGTTCTTATAGAACGTTCTGGTTTTTAGACACATGAGCGCGGGGCGTGACCGAATAAATACAATTTTAATGGTGATTTTATCTGGCAGTGAATGTCTAATAACCAGGAAGAACGGGAAGTAAATAACCAACTTTTTGTCTTCTGTGGATCGTTTTACAACTTGTTTGTGAGATCAAACTCCTGATCCTAGAGCTGCACCATGTAGTCTTTGGGTGATGCTACATTCCATAAGCTGCCAAAGATGCCAGAGTCTACTGTATGACGTGTGTGAACCACAACATCTTCCATGTAGTGTGTAGACTTCCATATCCTCTTTGTAGAGCGTAGACTGAGGCGTCTTCTGTGTAGAATGTAGACTGCGGCATCCTCCTTTCATGCAGGGTCTTCTCTTTAGAGTGCAGGCTGTAGCACCTCCTGGGTAGAGCTTAGATTGTAGCTTCTTCCATGTAGAGCGTAGACTGAGGTGTTGTCTGTGTAGAGCGTAGACTGAGGTGTCTTCTGTGTAGAGCGTAGACTGAGGTGTCTTCTGTGTAGAGCGTAGACTGAGGTGTCATCTGTGTAGAGCGTAGACTGAGGTGTCCTCTGTGTAGACTGAGGTGTCTTCCACGTAGAGCGTAGACTGAGGTGTCTTCCGCGTAGAGCGTAGACTGAGGTGTCTTCCGCGTAGAGCGCAGACTGAGGTGTCTTCCGCGTAGAGCGTATGCTGAGGTGTCTTCCGCGTAGAGCACAGACTGAGGTGACTGTCTTCCGCGTAGAGCGTAGACTGAGGTGTCTTCCGCGTAGAGCGTAGACTGAGGTGTCTTCCGCGTAGAGCGTAGGCTGAGGTGTCTTCCGCGTAGAGCGTAGACTGAGGTGTCTTCCGCGTAGAGCGTAGACTGAGGTGTCTTCCGCGTAGAGCGTAGACTGAGGTGTCTTCCGCGTAGAGCGCAGACTGAGGTGTCTTCCGCGTAGAGCGTAGACTGAGGTGTATTCCGCGTAGAGCGTAGACTGAGGTGTCTTCCATGTAGAGCGTAGACTGAGGTGTCTTCCGCGTAGAGCGCAGACTGAGGTGTCTTCCGCGTAGAGCGTAGACTGAGGTGTCTTCCGCGTAGAGCGTAGACTGAGGTGTCTTCCGCGTAGAGCGTAGACTGAGGTGTCTTCCGCGTAGAGCGCAGACTGAGGTGTCTTCCGCGTAGAGCGCAGACTGAGGTGTCCTCCGCGTAGAGCGCAGACTGAGGTGTCCTCCGCGTAGAGCGCAGACTGAGGTGTCCTCCGCGTAGAGCGCAGACTGAGGTGTCTTCCGCGTAGAGCGCAGACTGAGGTGTCTTCCGCGTAGAGCGCAGACTGAGGTGTCTTTCTGTGTAGAGCGTAGAATGCATTGTCTTCCAAGTGAATGGTAGACTATGGCAGCTTCCATGTAGAGTGTAGACTGCAGCATCTTCTCTTTCGCGTGTAGACTGTGGCATCTCCTATGTAGAGCGTAGACTACAGTTCTTCCATGTAGAGCGTAGACTACAGTTCTTCCATGTAGAGCGTAGACTACAGTTCTTCCATGTAGAGCGTAGACTACAGTTCTTCCATGTAGAGCGTAGACTGCAGTGTCTTCCATGTAGCGCATAGACTACGGTTCTTCCATGTAGAGTGTAGACTGCAGTGTCTTCCATGTAGAGCATAGACTACGGTTCTTCCATGTAGAGCATAGACTACGGTTCTTCCATGTAGAGCGTAGACTGCAGTGTCTTCCATGTAGAGCATAGACTACGGTTCTTCCATGTAGAGCGTAGACTGCAGTGTCTTCCATGTAGAGCATAGACTACGGTTCTTCCATGTAGAGCGTAGACTACGGTTCTTCCATGTAGAGCGTAGACTACGGTTCTTCCATGTAGAGCGTAGACTACGGTTCTTCCATGTAGAGCGTAGACTACGGTTCTTCCATGTAGAGCGTAGACTACGGTTCTTCCATGTAGAGCGTAGACTGCAGTGTCTTCCATGTAGAGCGTAGACTGCAGTGTCTTCCATGTAGAGCATAGACTATGGTTCTTCCATGTAGAGCATAGACTGCAGTGTCTTCCATGTAGAGCGTAGACTGCAGTGTCTTCCATGTAGAACGTAGACTGCAGTGTCTTCCATGTAGAGCATAGACTGCAGTGTCTTCCATGTAGAGCGTAGACTGCAGTGTCTTCCATGTAGAGCGTAGACTACGGTTCTTCCATGTAGAGCGTAGACTGCAGTCTCTTCCATGTAGAGCATAGACTGCAGCGTCTTCCCCTTTAGGGCATAGACTGCAGCATCTCTCTTTTTCAGGTATAGAGTGGGGTGCCTTCCTTTTAGAGTGTAGACTGTGGCATCGCTTTTTGTAGAGCGTAGACTACGGTTCTTCCATGTAGAGCATAGACTGCAACATCTGTGTAGAGCGTAGACTATAGTGTCGTGTCTTTTTTGAGTGTTGACTGTTGGCAGGCTCTATGGTTCTCATGGGAAAGGATTCCTTTGAGAAAGTTATCTTGTAGATGCTGCTCATGACCATGAAGGGCCCATACTTCTACCTGGAAGGTATTACTCCTCATTCAGCCACACTCATGAAGTTGATTGGCTTGTTACCTGTAGAAACTAGAGATTTCATTTTTGTTTTTTTGATCGGTTTTACAGATGCATCTTCCAACCTTTGATCCTGCAAGCCATTAGCATTGACCTGCATTAGATGAGTTGGGAGTCTTATGAGCATGATTTGTCTAGGGCAGTGGTTCCCAAGCTCAGTCGTCAAGTGCCCCCCAACAGGTCCTGTTTTCAGGAACTCCTTCACCATGCACAGGTGCTTTAAATCGATGTCAATGGCTTGGTATTTATGACAGCTATGTTGTCTAAGGGAAGTTCCCAAAACATGGCCTGTTGGGGCTTCTAGAAGAATGAGGTTGGGAAACATTGGTCCAGGAGCATTCTGAGTATGAAAGATGCCCAATAATCAGGACTTTAAAGGTGTCCTCACAAAACTTGTCTAACTGTGGGCATCTTCTACACTGACTTGTACATGGGATATTGGTGTCAATATGTTAGTATATGACCCTTTGTCATCCATATAGTAAATGTAGGGAATATGGGTACTCAGCACTCCGATGTTTGTGATGAGGGGGGGGGGGGGGGGGGGGGGGGGGGGGGGGGGGGGGGGGGGGGGGGGGGGGGGGGGGGGGGGGTGGGGGGGGGGGGTGGGGGGGGGGGGGGGGGGGGGGGGGGGGGGGGGGGGGGGGGGGGGAGGGGGGGGGGGGGGGGGGGGGGGGGGGGGGGGGGGGGGGGGGGGGGGGGGGGGGGGGGGGGGGGGGGTTAAGGGTAGAATAGATTTTGCTCATCAGATGGAGTTGGAGGCAGCAATATTAAGGACTGAAAGGAAAGCCAGGAGTGGACACATACAGTATATAGGAGGATTGTGTTATAGGCTGGCTCCTTTTTCAATTGTGCTGTACACAGACCCCTAACAAATAGATATTATAGATAGTATATATGGGATGTCCCTAACAAACCTCTACTCAGGCCATCTGTGGACCCACAAATGCAATTTCATTTATGGATGGATGCTGGTAGGACAAACCATCCACTGGCTTCTTTCATTTCTCATTGCCTGATGTCCACTTTCTGGATTTTCTAGCTCTGTAGAAAACTACCATGGAATGCGACTGCTCTTGCACCATTCAGTAGAGGTGATTGGAGCTGGGTGTCAGGTGCTGAGATCTCAGGAGTTCCATACAACAAGCCAGGAGGTAGCTCACCATACCAGCGTCCAGCAATAATTGAACTTCTTCTTTTGGGTCGATCGTTCTTTAAGGAAAATGCTTTTAACAAGCATGCAGCAGGATCTAGTCTTCTTCAGCATGAGTCTGCCGTAGTTTGCATGCCAATAACATGTTTGTTGAGTCATGTATGTGCCTTTAAGCCAAATGTGTTCTGTGATCCTGCTAATACCCATTTACTTGTAATGTCTTTCTGTCTAGTCAGATCCGCTGACTCTAAAGTTGTGCAAGGGCTTTTCCTTGCTTGTAGACGTGTTGCAGATGTATGTTTAAAAAAGCTTACTAACCTACGCTTTGTGTTTGCATGTGTAAACAAGAGCAAAGTGGCTTGCCATTCTTGGACAATGATGATGAAGAGGAAGGCTACACCTTCCAAAACGATAGTCCTAAGTACACAAGCTCCTCAGATTACATTCGAGGTCCAAGAAGCTCAGAGCGGGAGCATATGCCCAAACGTTTCTGAGGAACTCTCCTCCGGCAGAATGAATCCCAACCGCGTCTCCTTTGGTCAAGTCCACTACGACAGCAATGGCTCAAAAAACTCCAAAACCCCAGAGCAATGGAAAGAGCCAGTCCGTAAGGAACAAGTGCAGTTTGCCTACAGGAACCCTAGACATTCCTCTGAGAGGAGTCCATGCCATCTGAGTGGTGTTGAGGCAACTCCAACCCAGGACAGGGATAAAGTCCGCAAAGAGGAAAAAATCAGAGGCCATCGAGAAAAACACTGCAAGCACCATTCCGACCGGTGCAGGCGCTCCAGCTCTGATAGTGATGATTACTCAGAACACTGCGCCAGAGACAAAAGAAGCCGTCGTTCCCAATGGAACCAAAACCGAGAACACCACCATCATCACCACCCACGATCTTCTAACAATCATTCTTCTAGGATGTCAAGTCACGAATTGAGAACAGGTACAAAATAGATCATAATGATACAAAGAATCCCGTAAGTTAGTTTTTGTTTTTGGGAGCAAGAACTTTTTAAAGGTTCATTGAGAAGAATTCTGCAACTTCACGACATGTTGGTTGCAGAAGGCTTTAAATTGTATCAGGTCAACTTACTGACCAAGGAAATTGGAATCAATATTTGTGAAAGTTCTAAAAACACAATAGCTATTAGCTGTGTGCATTTCCCAGAACCCCTTTCCTGTAAGAGGGGATTAGGTCATGGGAAATGGATGTGGTATTTCAGATGGATGTGGTCTCTTTTTGACCTTCCGTTTTTTTATTCTCATTAACTGCATGGGCAGGTTTTGATTCCTTGTATGCCAACCACTTTAAAATCCTTGCCTATGAATCGAGGCAAAACCTTTTGTGTAGTTACCTAATGAACAAAAAGTCTCCACAATGTATAGATCATACGCTGTATGTCCAAGAGTAGTGGACACTTGACCATCACACTTCTATAAGCTTGTTGGACATCCTATTCAAAAATCATCTGTTTTCATTTAGGGTTGTTTCCAACCCGCTTTCACTCATGAGGTTATAATAGCCTCCACTCCTCTGGGTAGGCTTTCCACAAGATTTTGCAGTCTGTCTGTGAGAAAGGGACCAGGTACATTACTGATGTTGGATGAGAAGACATGGCTTGCCATTGGTGTTCCAGTTCATCTGAAAGGGGTTCAGTAGGGTTGAGATCAGGGCTCTGTGCAGGACACTTGAGTTCCTCTACACCAGACTGGTCAAACCTTGTGGCATGGCCCCCTTTTTGTGGCTGAAACCTCTTCCACTATTCTGGGAAGTCTTTCCCCAAGATGTTGGAGGGTGTCTGTGGAAATTTGTGTCTATTTTTTAGGTCAGGTACTGATGATGAATGAGAAGACCTGGCTCACCATCTTCCAGTTCATCCCAAAGGTGTTCAATAGGTTGAGGTCAGGGCTCTGTGCAGGACACTGGAGTTCCTCCACACCATACTGGTCAAACCATGTCTTTATGGAGCTGACTCGAAGAACAGTCTTATTGGAATTGAAAAGGACATTTCCAAAGCCCTTGCCACAAGGTTGGAAAGACAGGTGAGGGCTAGAACCCCCAGCAGCTAAAAGAGTATGTGTGAGGTTAGGTACTAATATTGGATTGAGGTCGGGTATTAATTTTGGATGAGAAGACCTGGCTCACCATCGGTGCCCATCCCAAAAGATGTTAGGTAGGGTTAAGGTCAGGGCTCTGTGCAGGACACTCAAGTTCCTCCTCCACACCAAACTGTTAAACCATGTCTTTGTGGAGCTGTCTGCACACAGGGGACAGTCATGGTGAAACAGAAAACTTCACCAAACTGTTACTACAAGCAGGGCTGCTGTTAGAAACCATACAGCCAACCTGACAGGGCCCCTCCCCCAAAAAATACAGTTTGCTATGCTTCACTTATGAATGAACATAGTGAGCAATCAGTACTGATCACTCATTGTGTTCATTCAGGCAAGGAAAGGGTTGGTAAATGTGACATATTTACCGGACCCTTCCCCCGCTCTCCGTCCTGAAGGATCCTATTGTGTGCTTGCAGCTGCCGATGGGTAGGAAAGAAGGGAAGCCGGCAGCACTGTGAGGGTGGGGGCACACAGGGAAACATATGGTGCACAGGGAGAGTGATAGGTGCGGGGGGGGGGGGGCAATTGCAATTGCAGGAACCATGAACCGATCCCCTGTATGGCTCCCTCTGCAGCAGCTGAAAGCCAGTGGGAAGGAGAGAAGAAACCAGAGAAGAGAGCCATACAGGGGAACAGTTCCAGTAATCCCCCCCCCCCCCGCTGTGCTGAAAAACCCTACCTGCCCACCTTTGATTTACCCAGCTGCCTGGGCCCCCGTGCTGGCCTGGGCCCCATACAGGAGGACTGGTGGTACCCCCTCATCCACTGCCCTGACCACAAGGTTGGAAGCGCACAGTTGTCTCCAATGTCTTTGTATGATGGAGTAGTCTCAATAATTTGGAGGGGGAGGGGGGGGTACTTAATCAATACAGTACAGCTGCAGCTTTTCCTGACATGGCATAAGTCCAGTAAAACTTTATAGGAAATAATCAATTTCTGTATTAACTTTGTCTGTGGCACTAACGTGGCTGTCATGATACCAGTTTGTCCGTTGCTTTGATCTTGTGGTGCTTTTGTAGCACTTTCTGTATGTTCTCATCATGACTATTATATGGCACTTTATATGGTCAGAAGGTTTCTCATCACACAATGAGACATCACTAGGGCGGCCCATCCATTGTAAAGACTCTGTAAAGGAGGGATCCTTCACAGGGGTCTGATTGGGAGTAATGTGAAAGTGGAAGACCCAAATACTCCTGTGCTTAGGGATGGACTCTGTCATATGAATCAACCAACGAAAATCTTGGAATATTATTATTATTATAGAGGATTTATGGCGCCAACAGTGTGCTCAGCGCTGTACAATATAACGGGAGATAATACAGCAACAATACAGATCAATACAAGAGGGATAGGAGGGCCTGATCCTGGGAGCTTACAATCTAAGAGGGAGGGGCTGATCCTGGGAGCTTACAATCTAAGAGGGAGGGGCTGATCCTGGGAGCTTACAATCTAAGAGGGAGGGGCTGATCCTGGGAGCTTACAATCTAAGAGGGAGGGCCTGATCCTGGGAGCTTACAATCTAAGAGGGAGGGGCTGATCCTGGGAGCTCACAATCTAAGGGAGGGGCTGATCCTTGTAGCTTACAATCTAAGAGGGAGGGGCTGATCCTGGGAGTTTACAATCTAGGAGGGAGGGGCCTGATCCTGATCCTGGGAGTTTACAATCTAGGAGGGAGGGCCTGTTCCTGGGAGTTTACAATCTAAGATGGAGGGGCTGATCCTGGGAGCTTACAGTCTAAGAGGGAGGGGCCTGATCCTGGGAGCTTACAGTCTAAGAGGGAGGGGCTGATCATGGGAGCTTACAGTCTAAGAGGGAGGGGCTGATCCTGGGAGTTTACAATCTAAGAGGGAGGGGCTGATCCTGGGAGCTTACAATCTAGAGGGAGGGGCTGATCCTGGGAGCTTACAATCTAAGAGGGAGGGCCTGATCCTGGGAGTTTACAATCTAAGAGGGAGGGGCTGATCCCGGGAGCTTACAATCTAAGAGGGTGGGCCCTGATCCTGGGAGTTTACAATCTAAGAGGGAGGGGCTGATCCCGGGAGTTTACAGTCTAAGAGGGAGGGGCTGATCCTGGGAGCTTACAATCTAAGAGGGAGGGCCTGATCCTGGGAGTTTACAATCTAAGAGGGAGGGGCTGATCCTGGGAGTTTACAATCTAAGAGGGAGGGGCTGATCCTGGGATCTTACAATCTAAGAGGGAGGGGCTGATCCTGGGATCTTACAATCTAAGAGGGAGGGGCTGATCCTGGGAGTTTACAATCTAAGAGGGAGGGGCTGATCTTGGGAGCTTACAATCTAAGAGGGAGGGGGCCTGTTCCTGGGAGCTTACAATCTAAGAGGGAGGGGCCTGTTCCTGGGAGTTTACAATCTAAGCGGGAGGGGTTGATCCTGGGAGCTTACAATCCAGGAGGGAGGGGCTGATCCTGGGAGCTTACAATCTAAGAGGGAGGGGCTGATCCTGGGAGCTTACAATCTAAGAGGGAGGGGCTGATCCTGGGAGCTTACAATCTAGGAGATGCACGCCTTGCTGCCCTCAAAGAACCGTGGAGTCCAAAAGTACTAAATAGAGAAACACAAAACGGCGGGTGCACCGGCCTTGTGCATTATCTTTAAAAGTGTGTTTATTGAATATAAAAAGCAGATATTCTACTGACAAAAGTATATATAATTAGGGCCCATCATAAGGGGCCACTCTGTCCAATTATTAAACACACTTTTAAAGATAATGCGCAAGGCCGGTGCACCCGCTGTTTTGTTTTTCTCTATATAGTCTGCTTGGGAGTACTGCTGGGTAGATGGATCTGCATCTCTGAATAATAAAAAATCCTGGGAGTTTACAATCTAAGAGGGAGGGGCTGATCCTGGGAGTTTACAATCTAAGAGGGAGGGGCTGATCCTGGGAGTTTACAATCTAAGAGGGAGGGCCTGATCCTGGGAGTTTACAATCTAAGAGGGAGGGGCTGATCCTGGGAGTTTACAATCTAAGAGGGAGGGGCCTGATCCTGGGACCTTACAATCGAAGAGGGGAGGCCTGATCCTGGAGTTTACAATCAAAGAGGGAGGGGCTGATCCTCGGAACTTACAATCTAAGAGGGAGGGGCTGACCCTGGGATCTTACAATCTAAGAGGGAGGGGCTGATCCTGGGAGCTTACAATCTAAGAGGGAGGGACCTGATCCTGGGAGCTTACAATCTAAGAGGGAGGGGCTGATCCTGGAGCTTACAATCTAAGAGGGAGGGGCCTGATCCTGGGACCTTACAATCGAAGAGGGAGGGCCTGATCCTGGGAGTTTACAATCTAAGAGGGAGTGGCTGATCCTCGGAATTTACAATCTAAGAGGGAGGGGCTGACCCTGGGATCTTACAATCTAAGAGGGAGGGGCTGATCCTGGGAGCTTACAATCTAAGAGGGAGGGACCTGATCCTGGGAGCTTACAATCTAAGAGGGAGAAGCTGATCCTGGGAGCTTACAATCTAAGAGGGAGGGGCTGATCCTGGGAGCTTACAGTCTAAGAGGGAGGGACCTGATCCTGGGAGCTTACAATCTAAGAGGGAGGGGCTGATCCTGGGAGTTTACAATCTAAGAGGGAGGGGCTGATTCTCGGAGCTTACAATCTAAGAGGGAGGGCCTGATCCTGGAGTTTACAATCTTAGAGGGAGTGGCTGATCCTCGGAACTTACAATCTAAGAGGGAGGGACCTGATCCTGGGAGCTTACAATCTAAGAGGGAGGGACCTGATCCTGGGAGCTTACAATCTAAGAGGGAGGGGCTGATCCTGGGAGCTTACAATCTAAGAGGGAGGGGCTGATCCTGGGAGCTTACAAT